CCTTTCCCTTCCCTTTGCCTTATGGATGATCTCCTTTCCCTGCTCTCCTCTCCCTTCCCTTTGCCTTATGGATGATCTCCTTTCCCTGCTCTCCTTTCCCTTCCCTTTGCCTTATGGATGCTCCCCTTTCCCTACTCTCCTTTCTCTTCCCTTCCCTTTGCCCTATGGATGTTCCCATTTCCCTACTGGATGCTCCCCTTTCCCCGCTCCCCTTTCCCTTCCCTGTGCCTCATGGACACTCTCCTTTCCCTCACATGCCATTCCTTGCCTGAACACAATTTATCCACGTCCCCTGGGATCCACGGTGCAGTCCCAGGACCAGTCCATCCCAGTCCATCCCCCTCTCCAGCTGCATCCCTGAGGATTTTCATGGCTGGCTGTTTGTCCCCAGCTACACCCTTCCTGATTCCTTACCCCTGGTAACACTCCTGTAATTATTTCCGGACAGGGAAGCAGGCATGGAAGAATAAATCCAGCTGAAGTGGGTTTTCCCGTTTTTTCTGGGGGGAATTTTACTTCCCAGGGCCGAGATCAGGCAGCCTAAAGATTTTCTTGCATTTCTCTGTGCTCAGTGCTTAAACAAACCCGCTCTGATGCATTTAGTGCTGCAGTTTGTGCACTTTGCTGAGAGGGAAGGACTGGGAGAGGGTGGGAAGAGCAGGATAACATCTGCCCATTCCTCAGGAGGGTCGTGTGTCATCATTAACGCTCGGGAGCCCCGGGGGGGAAGGGATTAGAGCCCAACAAATTGTTCTGGCAGGTGGGATTGGGGCTGCAGCACAGCTCCTGCTCCCCTCTGGAGCTTCCCCTCCGAGGATCTGCAAGGAATCAGCAGATTCCAAGTCCCTGCTGCTCCCTGAGAGGATGCAGAGCTCTGGGTTGGGAGGGGATGGGGGTGCTGAGGGGATTTTGGGGACGTTCAAGGCCGTGGGTTCTGGCACCAACTCCCACTGTCCCTGTGGGAAATGTTGCTCTTGGTTTGTTTATTGGGATGAAATGTTTCCCAGGACTTCTCTTGGCAGGGGTGAGTGGTCTCCCCGAGCAGGAGGAGGAGGAGGAGGAGATTTTGGTCACTCCCAGCCCCCTGGATGTTTGGGATATTGGCTGTCCCCAGTGGTCTGTGCAGGGGCAGGGCCCAGGGAGGCAGGAGCAGGGGCTCTTTGGGGCAGGGTGACCCTCTTCCCTGCTGGAATGGCAATGGAAGAGCTGGCTTGGCTGGTCCATCCTGGTGTGGCTGTAAGTGTGACCACGGTGTGGTGGCACAGGCATGGGCACTGCCCTGGTACACCACACCAGGGGCTCAGGGCCAGCCCCACGGGCTCAGTGTCAGCCCCATGTCCCCTGTGTCAGCCCTGTGGGCTCGGGATTAGCCCCATGACCCCTGTGACAGCCCCATGGGCTCAGGATTAGCCCCACATCCCCTGTGTCACCCCAGGGACCCCCATGGACCCCATGGACACTCCTGTGCCAGCCCCACGGACTCTGTGTCATTCCCACATCATCTGTGTCACTCTCATGTCCCCCATGTCATTCCCATGTCCCCCATGTCATTCCCATGGACTCTGTGTCATTCCCATGTTTCCTGTGTGACTCCCATTCATTCCCATGTCCCCCCATGTCATTCCCATAGACTCTGTGTCATTCCCACATCATCTGTGTCACTCCCATGTCCCCCTGTGTCATTCCCATGTCCTCCCTGTCATTCCCATGGACTCTGTGTCACCCCACATTCCCGTGTCAGCTCCATGGATTCTGTGTCACTCCCATGTCCCCCGTGCCATCCCCCATCCCCCGTGCCATCCCCCATCCCCTGTGCCAGCCCCCCAAACCCTGTGCCAGCCCCCCATCCCTGTGCCAGCCCCGTGTCCCCGCCTGTCACATCCCCCCCTCAGCCTCTCCTCCCTCCTCGCTGCCACATCCCATCTCATCCCACGTTTCCCCGGCCGTGCCACGGTCCCTCCCCGTGGTACCAAAGCCGAGGCTCTGCAGCCCCGAAGTAGGTCAGGAAGTTGTTTTTCCCCCAGCCAGGGAACTCCTCATGGATGATCCCTAGGGCTAGGGCTGAATCCTGGGACCCTTCCCCAGCATCCCTCGGACATCCCATCTCTGCTGGGAGCGGTTTCCTGGGGGCAGGTGGGTTTTTTTTCGGGGGGGGTGACCACGATGCTTGTACGGCCTCGGGGCGATGCCGCCGCCTTCCCAAACCCTCGGGACAGGGATGGGACGGATCCGAGGGCAGGATCCCGCCGTGCCTGACTCATTGTTGTGCCTGGCCTTATGTAACCGGTGCCGAAATCCCGCTCCCAGCCGGGAGCGGCGATGGAGGGAGCCGGGATGGGGGGGGGGAAAAAAAAGCAGCTTGTCGCCATGGTTACCCGCATCCTTGCAAAGTTCCTCGCATCCATCTGGTTTCATTTCCAGC